AAGTGTCTCTCATAGCAGGTTTGAGTTGTTGTCATCCTCAAGGAGAAAGGAGCCAAGAGTAGAGGAAGCACAACCACATCTGGAAGTGGTTGGCCAGTGCCTTTTCTTTCAGACAATTAAATGTGAACTATATTTCACTGAGATGTGGGTGCCCACAGATCTCGGGGGGGGTTTGAACCTCTGTGGCTGACTGCTGAAGGTTTTTCTCCCCGGGTGCTTGCAGGGATGACGTGCCAAGCCAGGACGTCGTACACGGAGGACGAGGTGCTGTGGGGCCATCGCTTCTTCCCCGTCATCTCCTTGGAAGAGGGGTTCTTCAAAGTGGATTACTCCCAGTTCCACGCCACCTTCGAGGTGCCCACCCCTCCTTACAGCGTGAAGGAGCAGGAGGAGATGCTGCTCATGTCCTCTCCCCTCATAGCTCCCGCCGTCAGCAACAGCAAGGAGAGGAATAACTCGGTGGAGTGCCTGGACGGGCTGGACGAGGTAGGCACCAAACTCCCTTCCAAACTGCAGAAAATCACCGGGAGGGAAGACTTCCCCAAAAAACTCCTCAGGATGAGCTCCACCACCTCGGAGAAGGCCTACAGCATGGGGGACCTGCCCATGAAACTCCAGCGCATCAGCTCCGTCCCCGGCAACTCGGAGGAGAAACTGGCCTCCAAGACCACCAAGATGGATCCCATCAGCCAGTCGGTGGCCGAGCTGCCCCCCAAGCTGCAGAAGCTGTCGGGGGGTGGGGGCAGGATGGAGGGGAACCTGCCCCCCAAGCTGCGTAAGATGAACTCGGATCGCTTCACATAACCCGGGGCACCCCCAGCTGAGGCGCGGAGGGCGCGGGAGCGGGGCCGGCGCCCGGTGCCCACCCCGGGAGGGGGGCAGGAGGAGCCCCCCCCAAAGCCCAGGAGGAGGAGGAGGAGGAGGGCGGTGGAAAAAACCCACCGTTGGCCTGGAGTAGCACAGCACGCATGCAACGATGGTAGTGTGCAACCTCTGCATCTAGTGTCCTGGCATGGCTCCTACTGTGTCCCCAGCCTGCAGCCCCGGCCTGGGCAGGGACCTTCCTCCCCCTGGAGCTTGAACTCTTCACTTTTCAGGGGCAGGCACGGCTGGGTTTGGGGAACTTGATTCCTTTTAGGATTTGTTTCTGATGTGGATCGTGATGTTTTTCTTCCACCGAGTAGTTCTGCATGTCTTTTTTTTTTTCTTCCAAGGTGTGACGGGTGGACTCGAGGACCCCCAAGGTCTCCTCTGACCCAAACAGTTGTGTAAGTTCACTCTCCTAGCCTTAAATTAACTGCTGGTTTCTATTTTGCTTTAACATTTCCCTGGTTTGTTTTTTTTTCCTGCATCTAGGCTACTGTTGTAAAGAGAACTCTGTATTTCTTAAGGCATTGTGGAGAGGAGAAACTTGTATGACTGGAGCCTAGGCAGAACAATAAAGAAACGAATAAAATTCACACTTTAGATACAGTCAGTAAACAATTTTTTGGAAATCTTTGTGGTTTATCATGAAAAGAAGTCCCAGCTCCTGACTGCTTTCTCTACAGTGACAATGATGTTTCAAGCCTGCTCTGGACTGAAGTTGACCCTGTGGGTTGCAGGAGGAGGAATACTTTGTATAAAGGTTTGGTTTGATACCCTTGTCTTTGGCTCTCCTTTCTCCTGGCGTTGCTCCTGCAAGGTGGAGTGGAGGTGTCCATCTCCAGACCCTCCCCAAAAGGCTGGAGGTGGCTCAGGTGCCACCCATGGGCTGTGGTCAGTGTTTGAGGGCCAGGTCTTGGTGGCTGCTTCTTGGAGGAGGAGGTGGGGGCAATGGAGCCATGGGTGGCACCATCCAAGAGCTGGGTCTGGAAGCCACCCCTCACAGCAGCATGGCACCCTGGAGACCACAACTTGGGGGTCTTGGACATGGGCAAGAGGTGCACACAGAGCTCCAGTCAGGGCCAGGCCCTTCTGCAGCATCCTCCTCCAAGGTGACACTTCCCACATCACCAACAGCAACACATCTCATGGGAGGAACATCGTGGTTCTAAATGTTGGTGTGAAATAAAAACTCTCAGAACCTCTCTGCCTCAGTGTTCTCTGGAAGCTGCAGGGTGGGACCCAGCACTTGAACCCCCAAGGACTTCAGAGGAGTTTCTGAAGTTCCTCTTCATGGTTCCTGAGGAGGTGGGGGTGGCACTGGAAGCTGTGAACCTCCTGGGCTGCACCTCCTGTGTCCACACAAGCACAGGGAGCAGAGGGCAGGGCTGAGGGGGAGGTGGAGCTCAGGGCTTCTGTCCCTGTCTGCCAACGTTGCCCCAGGTCACCTTATAAACACTGGTGGCTTTGTGCCACACCTCTGCCACCAAGGAGCAGAAATAGGGACCAACAGCAGGTCTGAAGGGTGGGGACACCCCCAAGTCCCAACCACACAGCCAAGAGCAGGGGTTGGGGGTAACACCCAGCCCACCAGAGTCCTGCCAGCAGGAACACCTGGCATGGAAAGAGAGGTCTCCAGCAGCTTGATCTCATCTCCAAACCTCCTCAGGTGTGTTGGGGGTGGGTGGGGAACATCCACCTCCTTCCCAGGCCACAGGGAGAGCATGAACGAACCAATCACCTGCCAGCTAGTGATTAACTATTGGTGGACCAGATGATGCCTAGAGGTCCTTGCCAAGTGATCAAACATAAATATGTCTGGACTATGTATTCATCCATGGACATAATGACAGTGGTGGGAAGGGGCATATGAGATCATGGAGTGGAACCACACTCTAACTCCAGCAAGACACTTGTCACCCACATCAC